GGCCAGATGCCTAAAAGTACTTCCCCTAAACTGCGGACCAGATTGCTTTATTTTTCTATACGGTGCAGAAGGATGAGTAATGTTTTCTTTCAGTAATGCCCAATAATGGATTTGTTTTCTCCTTTTATCCTTTTTATACAATTGTGTATCTCTAGAAATGCCTGCGATTCTCACTTGTACATGTTTTCAAGAGTTTTACACTCAGACCCCTGATTTAGCAATGAGTACCTGAATCTCTGATATACACTTAAATATACACTTAAATAAAGCTAAAATAAACTTGGATAAAGTTTTCCATATTAGCATACTAGAATATTATAATTTGGGGAAATAGAGGGAGTGTACCTAGTACTAGAGGATGCATTCCAAATACGATCATGCAGCATCTAGCAAGTCCTTGGTTTTAGCATCTATTCTAAAAATCAAGGCATAAGATTGTTTTGAAGTGGTGTGTGTGATACATTTGACTGATTGCTGTGAATTTCAAGAACAGATTTTTAGTGGAACCTGTGCTCTTAAGTTGTTTTGAAAAGTCTTCCTAAATGTGTATTAAACATCAAATGTCGAGATGAAATAATGTGGCCAGTTAAAATGCCTTTATAGAATATAATAATGTGTTTTCCAGGAGGCTTTAAGTGAAATTCAGGCAAATGAAAGTAATTGGCAAAGGTCATGTTGAATAACTGAGGCCAGAATTTGACCTCTGCAGTTAGGAAGCAGGAAGAACGATGATTTAATGTTTTGTCTGAATTTTTAAAAATTAAGACAATTTGGATATATTAGACTAATAACTATATCTGTTCCTTTATAAGCAATTTTTTTTTCTAACAAAACAATTTTTTACTTCAGTTGAACTTTGGAAGTTAGTGGGTATTCTGCTAAATAAGTATGACTTTTTCATACTATTTTCAAAACTGAATTTAAAACATTTTACACTGAATCAGAAATCCCATGCCTGCTACTTCACTTCCAAAACCATTTAATTTTTAAGTTTTTTCCTAAGGTCTTTCCTTGAAAGATGTTAGATTGTTAAAACAGTCTCTTTGAAATATGCAGGGACTTACTGAAGACTGTAAGCTTGCATTCCCCTATTGTGCAAGAGCACGTTGGGCCAGTACCAGCCCTTATATGCCCAAGTGGTTGGGAGTAAATGCACTTAATTTAAAATTTTGATCTTTTATCACTCTTTTAAATACTGCGGTAGACTTGTTCTGATAGGTTTGTACAATGAATGTCTAACTAGTCTTAAAAAGAGCTGGACGTTGTGTATTTAATATTCTCAGTCGTGTTTCTTTACAATGTGGCTGCGCAGGTGCAAAAAATCTGGCACAGCACAGCAGATGTGGCAGTATCATATTCGGGATGAGCTGGACTCTTGTTTCTCCTACAGTCTAACTTATAGCAGCAGGTGTGAACAAGAATCCGTGTAAGATAGGCTATTTGATGGGCTGATCACTTGAGTTAAGTGATAATAAGATGAAAATCATCTTATTAAGATATTTCCTTAAGCTGGTTTTCTGTGACTGCTTATGTGTAAAATGTGTGGATTTATGATTTTTTTTTTTTTGAGAACCAAATACTTAGCATATAGCAGGAGTATTACTGTGATTCTGTGAGTAAATATAGCTATTCTACTGTGAGCATGGTGAAAGTCATAAAAACATTAGCTTTATTACGTTTTGAATAAGAACCATGATGCCAAGGTCAAGTGTTTGCGAAGCTCTTAGCAAGATCAAGACTCTTGTCTCTTTACAATACTTCTACATTGTAAAGTAAAAGTGCATTTTCTTGATTGTTTTCAAATACCGTATTCTGATGATAACTTTACACTCCACCTTCTGGATTATGATTTTATTTCCACTCTATTAAAAAAAAAAATCTTAAAAGCATTTCTTCTTTGCAATTTGCTTTTATCAATATTCTTGCAAATATTGTCAGTAAATCTGTGAATTAATCTGTAAATCTGTCAACTGAATCATCTTCGTTTTGCTAGGTCTGCAGCATTTCTGTTGTTACTGTGGTCATTGACATTGAGAGACTTACTCCAGTAAGTTCCATAACCAATACATCACCTGACCCAAACCGGCATCTGTAAAATGTATGCATCAATAATCTAACAATCCTCTGCATAATAACATATACATATGTATAGGATTTACCTATGACTTCAGGTATGGCCGGTAAGGTAAAAAATACATTGTAAGATGATCTTACAGTGTGTGGGTGGACTAGATGATCTTTGGCGGTCCCTTCCAACCCAAACCATTCTATGATGGTACTCTAAAAACTGTAAGCAGTTTATTCAGTGTATCGTTATAAAAATTTTATCGGTTTGCTAGGAAAATTACTTTTTCCATGATCAACTATTACCATGTGAAATTCTGTGTGTGACACTATTACAGTCAGAGCCACTTGGGTGTGAACCTTTGTGAAACTGTGTCGATTTCAGTCAAATAATGTGTAAGTAGGGTGTTTCCCTCATGGAATTGACTGGTGGCTTGGGTCTGTTTTTACTGCCTCTGAAGTATTTTACTCATACAGTGCAATAGCTTAGTTAAAAATCTGCACACCCCCTTAGTAATAGTAAGAGTCATTTTGTATATACACATACACACACAGAGTAGCTCAGACTAAAGAGTTCTTCACCTTTCTTGGGTCGTCATTCTTGGATTGTATCTGACAATACAACACTCTGCGCATCTCAGCTTCACTCTCTGAATTCCTCACTGAGGCAAGGGAATCTACATGACTCTTTGGAAGCTGTTCAAGTTTCAATGCAATAGGTGTATGCTCAAACTGAAAGCAACTGCTGAATTTTAAAACCCCAGAAGGGGTGCTTGTAACAGTTGTTTTGGGTTCTCCCTGAGGAAAACAAATACTAAGTGGAGTTTTGGAAAGTCTTATGACTTAATTTTTATTCTGAATTAAATATAACAGCAATAGCATTAATAAATATGCATGCTTGCAACTATTCTATATGGCTTGGGTTTACCACCTGAGATTTATATTTACAGCCAAGCCTGGGGGCTCATTGAGGGGAGTATAGCACCCAGCCTGCCAGTCGCGGCTAACATTTCTCTGTCTGCTGCTTGGGCTGCTGAAGGTGCAGTGCTGCTCTCTGCACGGATGCCCAATGTGTGGGAATATTGCAGTAAATATTTTCAGTGAAACTAATGAACTTTCTCTCCAAGCTTCATTTGGGATGAGCCCTTATCACAGAGTTGGTTATGACGTAAACCAAAGGTCTCTCCTAGGTAGTGGTCCTGTGTCGGGTACTCTGAACCCACAGGACTGGAAGGCTGTGGGTCTAGAATATACTTGTATGTTTTGGTGTAATGCAATTTCACAGGTGGTCTGGGCAGTCAGTTTTGGGAAGGTCCAAAAGCTATTCCTTTGTCTTATTGGGCAGTCACAACATGGGAACCAAGGACTGATTAGTATCAAAAATATCCTTGCCAGCAGGTTGGGGTAGGACATCATGATCTACCTCATGGGCAGGTAAAGGATTTACTACACTCTACTTCCCAGCATTTTGTACTAATGTGAATCTTTCACTCTACAAAGAAAAGCACAGGAGTGCCTGAAAATGGAGCTCAAAAAACCTTTATATTGTTTGCATATATTTTTACCTCAGACCTATTCAGACTCTGAAGTTTTCTAGGTGAATTAGTTCACTATTACATGTAATGACACTGTATGCAATCACACAACCTCTCGGACTTTTTACTTCCATCTATCTCCCAGAAATGTGCCACTTCACAATGCACCGAAGTGGTAGCTGGAGCAAAAGGTTATAATCTCAGTGTGTTATGAGTACCTTCTATGCTGCCAAATATCGTGATGTATAAAAAGCACAGTAAGTTAGAGTTAGGCTGCCATGGACTGCAAGGCAATGTGCATTCAAAACAGTTCATCAGTCTGAGAAAATACTTAGCACTTTGCTGCAGAAAAGCATAGCTCTTTGACTGTTTTCCTTGTGGGCCTGGTGGAAAAGGACTGATAGATAATCCTTCACCTTCCATTTTGCTGAGCCAAGTACAGGGAAGTTGGCCAGGATGTCTTGGTTGCAGCAGTCCATAAAGGAGAGGCCAGAAGGACAATGTTTTGTCTCTTCATTTGTCTGCTCGGGAAAGCAAATACATATGCTAAAGATATGGGGAGAAAGGGAGCTGATAATTAGCATCAACATCAGTTTGATCTGGCAAAGTTATTTCTGCGTCTACTTCTTGCAGATTTTCATGGTCCCTGCTATCACTCTGGTACTTGAGAGCAGGAAGATTGAAACCCTACTATTTATTTGGTTATTAAACCTGGTAACGTTACACATATTTCCACAGGTTACTTTCAGATTAATATGGTGTATTTGCAATATTTTGTGCCCTACTAGGTCGAGTAATGAAACCCTCACAGTCATTGCCAAATCTGATCTCCAAATAGAACACAAGTTACGGGGTTTTGTGTAGAGCATGGATTTGACTCAAGGGTTGGAGATACGCAAATCCACTTGAGTACAAATTAATAATTTCCATAACTGCTTAATGCTTCTCAGACAGAGTGTTAATAATCTAAGGGTTCAAAGAAGTTTGAATATGATGTTCATGTATCCAACAAATAATACACACTCTTAGATTATGTAATTTTTCTATATGTTTAAAAGTGGCACAGGAAAGAAACTCTTACTCCTTTGTTCCTAAAATATTTGTTTCTTGGCAGCACTTGTCTGAATGTATAGCAGATGTACTAAATATAACCTGCCTATGATTTAATGCAGCACACATGTAGAAAATGAAAATAACATTAATACAAGTTGTTATTTTAATATGGACCTTTGGGCAAAAGGAAGCACTGTTCTGGTCTGGACTACTTATGCTGTGATATAAATAGAAGATTTGAGTTTCCAGGACTGTCAGTCTGGCAAAGTTCATTCGACCTCAATTTGTGATGTAAGACTCCTGAAAATAATGGCCTCACTAACATTTATTCTGTATTTCTGTTAATAGGAGGAATGCTTTTTGAATTTAGAAGCTCCTATTTCAAGAGTATGTGGCTATGACACTCCTTTCCCTCACATCTTTGAGCCTTTCTACATCCCAGACAAATGGAAATGCTATGATGCTCTTCGAAAAATGATTAACTACTGAGCAGTAGTACAGGTGAGAAATAACGTCTTATACTGACAGTTTGCCTGTAAGGATTCTGACAGAGTGGTTGCAAAGTTTGGGGCTAAAGTACTGCTCTTTTATTTAGTTACTTATTTATAATAAGAATTGCCTCTTATGGCTTTGGGCCTTCAGTCTTAAAGGCGACTGAATATTTTTAAGTAGTGCCATTGAAGTCAGTGTTTAAAATTAATTACCTTGCTCAATCAATCTGAAAATTAAATGTCTTGTATCCTGAGAAGTGAAAAGAATGTAAAGTGAAAGGTGAAAGGAATAGTAATGCACAGAATATATTTTTGCCTATATTAGAAGACTTACAAGTATTTCATAAGCAAACCATAGCGTTAAATTTTATAATTTTTCACTCTTCAGGGTGGCCCCTAATCCTGTGAGGTACTAATAAGGCCCAATTTACAGTGAATATAGGCACTGCATTGCAAACATACACAGAGCATTGAAAATACGTGAAGTATCTGTAGTATCTCACAGTTCTGTTCAAATATAATTATAAGGCTTATATTTAATATTTATTCTAAAAATAATTTTTCTTTATAATCTTTTATGTAATTTGGTCATGCTTGAAGATTTGTTTGCAGAGCCCTTCAGGCACCAAGTCTGTGAAGTAATATATATTTCTATTACATGTCTATTAATCGCAGTCTGTAACTCCTTTTGTCTTTGTTTCATTATAATAGAATACTAAGTAGCATTAGACTGTGCAGTGGCCAAGCGGGACTCAGTATTGTGCGTTGCTGTGAGAGAACTTCCGGTGTTTAATGACCAAAGTTTAATAGTTAGGAAATGTGTCAACGCATTGTATTCTCTACTTCCTTTAATTAAGCGAATCAAGTAGCCTAGTTTTTGCTATTGAGTCTTGATGGGTCTTGCACATCTGAATTAAAAAGAACGGAAGGAAACAACAGGCCTGTTCTCCTTTGGAATGGGGAGATCCCGCAACAGGCAGGCAGGGGATTTTTAGCTGTCGACACCGCAGATGGGAGGGCCAAGGTGGGCCCTGCATTAGGGGCGCCCTCTCGTGTCCATTTTACCTATACGTTAAGCTGTGAATTACATTTAGGGCCGGGGTTGAAGGTTGTCCATACCTTAATGTTAATCCCGTTTATATGCATACTTACTTTCAGGGCGACTTCTTGCATTTCACTCTCTCTGTTGCTCTCGATAGCTGACAGTGGAGCGCCTGTATGTGAAATGGGGACGCTACCAGTGAGGCGGTGTCTCCGAAAAATAATGTAGTTCCACTTAGAATATTTCCCCCAAATCACCTGTTATTGACATACTAGAGCATTTCCTTAGGATTAAAACTGAAGAACATTGTGATCTTTTTTGTAGAGTATGTGGTAAATGCTCTCTTTTTCATGACAGTTGTCCTTGCCTTTTATTGGAATTGAAGTAAATTTATTAAAGACTTATTTTCTTTTTCGTTTGGCACCTCTGTAATAAAGTCAGAGAAGCTTTCCTAAAGAGAATGGGTTGTGTCTGCTCTTTGAGGCAAGTTACTGGGCCATGCTCGGTAGCCTCTAATCTGTTCCTTTCCAAAGGAAACCAAAGGACCAAATATTCATACCTCTGTGTAAGGAAACGGAGACAAACCAAGGACATTTGGTGGTTCAGAGACTTGGTTTAAACCCCATTCCTCCATAGGATGGTAAAGTGAGGGAGGTATGAGGTGAAAAAAGTGGGTTCGGAGATTGTATTGAATTTGCACACAATCTAGTTTCCACACTGGAAGTCGACACTAAACCTTTCTGTGAAGGTAATATGGACTAAAATGTGGAAAAGTCATCTGCATTCATATTTACATTTCTCCTGTGGGCTGCACCACACACAAATATCAGAGGAGGTTATCGGCCAGCTGAAAACATGGATTTAGCATATCAAGGAGCAGGTTTATTAGGGGCTGTCTGGAAAACAGTGTGAAGACACAGAAAACACTGCTTTCTGGTTTGTCTAAGAAAACATCCAGATGGTGGGGCCCATAACACCATGTCTTTTGGCTGGTGTGACTAGATATTAGTGTTACAGAATGAGCTGCTCAAAGGTTTTTCTAAGAGAGAACCTTAATGTGCCTTGTTGTAAGGCACATTTCAGGGGAGTATTCCCTTATTTTTCTGTGTGCTATAGTAGGTAATTGGTCTTACGTGCTTGTCACAGCAGTTGTAGCAGATCTCCATCCTGCCATCTACTCCACAGAGTTTGCATATAAGGTAGTGCGCTTATGTTTCTGAGAAATGGAAGGATTGCTTTGCAGTTGCTTCTTTTTGTACTCAGTATAACATGTATTAGTGACATTACTTGCCATCGGTCCGAACTGATGAAGTTAATGTATTCCAAACCACCTCATGTGTAGGGAGACAGGGATATCTTTTCTAAGAAATGATGTTATGGTTCGTGTGGATTTGAGCACAGCCATAGTCTTCTGGATGTTAGAAAAGTTGGGCCCCTTCTTGTCCTACTGCTGGAGAGACAAAGGGGCTAGCAGTACACCTGGTGAAGAGGGATGTAGGGTTGGCTTTTGAGTTACAGAAATGGCCAAGCTGGCTAAGTTGTTGCTTGGCCTATGTTTCAAGTAATTTCTGTTAAATACAACCTGGTGGCATGGCTGGCTACCTTCTTCTTTTCCCCTCTTAATTGACAAGTTACTAGAAATTGCTTCATCTATTGCTTTCAGGCAGGCTGTGGGGAAAAAACCAAGTGGTAATTGTCAAATATATCAATGTTATATGTCAGATTGTCCTTTCTAACACGGCCTGAAATCTCTGTAGTTTGAGTGAGAGGCTACCTGCAACTTCATTTCATGAAGTCTGCAGTGGTATGATTCCCTCCCCTTGTAACTGGATAACACCAAGTTATATAATGTTTCATGGTCTACCGCTGTTTCAAAGTCCTCTTCAGACCTTGAAACAGGTTCTATATTAAAGCATGGGGATGCTAACTCCAAACTTATTTTTACCAGTTACGGTATGCTTTTCTTTAAGTGTGTGTCGAAATCTTTCTGTCCTTATTCACACAAGTATTTCTCAGTTAACAAAGAATAAATCCGCATCTTCTTTAAAAAACAGGCAAACAAACCCCTCCGTGAAATATGTTTGGCTGTATGTACAAATGTACCTCATATCCAGAAAGGTTCTTCTCAGGCACCTGAATTAACTTACTACTTTGTGTCTGAGGCTAATGCAAGGTCTCAAGCTGGATGCTACAGGCAATCATTTCTAAACTTAGCCTTATTATCTTAATGTACATTTGGTTTTATTCAACCAGTGTTGACAGTGTCTCACACATGCATAGTTGCTTATCTTGAGATTGACAGTACAGATGATTTTCCTGCTCAAAGACAGTGTTTCACAATGCATACTGTATACCTCACCGATGAGACAGGCAAGAGCAAAATCTGTATCTTTCAGCAGCTTCTTAGCTATTAAAATTTATAGCTATGTTAGCTATAAGAGAAATAGCTTCCAGGTAGGCAGCTGTGTTCCAGATAACTCTTTGTGGTTGGAAAAAAAGATAAAGAGAAAAGAAGCAGTGAGATTAGGATGGATATACATTTCCTGGACAGATGGAACGGTGTCTGGCTGTTCATTTGGGGAGGGGAAAAAGAACAAAAAAAAGATAAAAGAAGAAACAGAAGAAAACAACCACAAATTTTATAAAATATATTCTTGTGATACACAAATATATTGAGGGGTGGCTGTAGCATAGAAATGGCAAATAGCCAAGTGCTTTTCTGTTACCTTTTGCAGCTTTTTCTACTGCATTTGCATATTCTGTTTTCTTGTCAAATTCTGAATTTTAAAGCTGTCCCTGCCAGGTGACAACTTACCTCCATGAGAGTGTGCGTGTGTATGTAGAGACACCGTTACTATTACAAATTTGTTCTCTAAAAATACAAAGTTATCACATTGAACTTCGTTATGGAACTATTTTATGGAAAGTTTGATCTTGGCACTTAAAGGTTAGGCGATGTTAGTGGATGATGGGGGATTGATTTAAATCTATTTTTCTTTCCAAGTATGTATTTGAAGTTGTATTTGAACATCCAATACAGTTTGCTCAGAACCAGTGCTCCAGTTGGGAGAGACTTGCAAATTGACAGCAATGCTTTCCCTTTCTCAACCAGTAAGTTGTGCTGGGAAACAGGAAGGGACCTGGTAGATACTTTGGTTAGTAATTGTCTGTTCTTTGCACTCCTGGTTATTAGGCAGGGCTTCATAAGGGATAACTTGAGGCACAGGAAAAATATAATTCCTCTCCCTGTTTGGTAAATAAAATATGAGAGACTGTGCAAGATCATTTCCTTTTAACCTGAGACGAGCAACCAGGTTTTTTTCAACACAGAATCCCAAATGTAGCAGGCTAGACTGCCTGCCTTTTATAATGCGCTGTCTGTAGCCCACTAGAATAAACAACCTCCAGGGGCTTGAGTAGGACGCAATGTTCCTAGTTTATAATGTTTCCCTGCTGGATGGCAAAAATCATGCAAATGGCCAGTGAATCATGTCTTACTCACCACCAGTGAGTAGTCCAAATATAAGATAACAGTCTACTAGTGCTATGAGTTAGTCTGTTAGTATGGCTGTTGCAAGTCTATACTTGCATTCAAACCTTGCTGAGAATTCATGCAAGATCAAGAATAATGAAATTATCTTTAAAAAAACCTATAAATATGAAAGGTATTGACTATAGTTCTTTCTACAAGACCTTTCTTCACTGTAATAGTAGATTGATAGTATATCTAGTAGAGCTTTAAAAAAACCAACACATAACACTTTGCTTAACATGCTAGAGTGGGATGGAGGACACTTCATCATAAAGTTTTTGTGTAAATGGTGGTAATTAGTGTTGTCTTGATGCTGGATATCAGTTGCAGCATTTCCAATTTCTGCGTGTCTACCTTGGCAGCTTTAAAAGTTTAATATCGTTTTTAATACCTAATAAGTAAGTATTTTGTTATAGTTCACACACCTTGAGGTTGAGATGACTTTATAAATTTTAAAAGTAAGATTACCATGGAGGGCTCTGTGTGTTTAAGTTGTGGATATTACTTTCAGCCTTAAGATTTGTAATTTATTTTGTCATCTTCTTCTGCAGGGATGAGAAGAACAACAGGGAAATACAGAAGCTGCCTTCAAAACTCTTGACACTTTACTCAGATCTTTTGGGTTTGGAATTCACATAGCAGACTGTTTTCTCTGAACTCAACTACCCTTAATATTCATCTTGGCTATTCTTCAGAAAGTTCAAATCTTCCTTAATTATGAAATCAGTGATGGGCAGTTGATTGCTATAATAAGTAGTTTCAGATGTATTTAAAGATATTCCAGATGTTGTATGAATGTTATACATTGCCATGCTTCACTAGGTTACATCTCTAAACTTCACTGTGTAAATATTAGAAGCAGGATTTTATTCAATAAAACATATTATGCACATGTTGTCTCTTGGTTTTGTTATTTTTTGGGGAAAACCCAAAGAGGTTATTTGAATGTGACTGTATTTTCAACAAAATAAACCTTAGACAACCAGACCTCCTTTAACTGGTGTCTTTAGCTGTCTTTCAGTTGAGGGGCTTCATGTAAAATAGTCCCAAATACTGATTCTCCTTTCTGCAAGGGAAATGAAAACTCCATTTTTCTTGAGAAGGGAGGAGAGATTTTTTTGCTTTGTTGCTATAGGTGAGAGGCTCCATTGGTACATCTTTGCTGCAATATCTTTGTTTAATTATTTTTCCTCTAGATATGGAATGTGTCTGCTGCTAAGCAGTTGTGCAAAATGTGCCAATTTGTCTAGAAAAGGTAACAGTACCCTGACATATTCATGCCAGTGGTGGGAGAAGAGGCAGTGCACATGCCATTTTCTGTTGGTGAGGACACAGAAATAAAAAATTACCAAAAAGACTCTGCTATAAAATTAAACCTGAATGTTTATTTTTCCTCTGCTAATATAAAGGGCACTGAACATCCCTAAATGCAAAAAGGAGTCCAACCTTTCAGACTGAGAGCTTCTGAGTTCAGTGGAGGTTTGCTTAATTTTTAGTAATGCCCTTCTTTTCCATATGACAAGCCAAGGACGCAGCAAAGATGTTGTGAAAATTATCCTCTTTTGTCCTACGTTCCAGGACTGCTCAAAGGGCAGCAGATCTTCATCCAGCACAGTAGTTTCAAAGCTTACTACTGAATTCCTTTGGTACCAGCTCTGCTCATTTTTCCACCACCTAAATTAACTGTGAATTCAGCAGTTCCTAGTCTTTTTGGTTACTTCGCTCTTTGTACAAACCAATCTCATGCTGCGTTGCTTCTTATTATATGGGGGAAGGAGGGGAGGGGCTGGGAAGATGTATGCCAGTAGCAGATAACCACATTTCCGTTACTATTCAGGGGGTTCTTTCAGGGAGAAAGAAGAATACCTTTGTACACAAACCTGCTCAGGGCAGTCCTCAAGGTGACGGCTGAAACAGGCCAGGGAGGAAGCTCAGGAGGATAACTTCACTCAATGTCAGTGGGTATTCCCCACCATGCCCCTCCGTCACCCATTATGATCTGGGAGGTTGTTAATTGAGCGGATCCACTGAAATCCAAGGGAAATCTGGCCTTTGGGACAACATTCTTGATGATGGGTGCCAAAGTGCACGCGCCCGCATCTCAAAGCGGTGTGCTTCTCAGGGCTCCTAGGCGACTCTCATCTCACTGTCCCAAACCTCAGGAGCAATCCTTGTAGCGTGGTTCGTTGTTTGTAACGTGGGGCGATGCTTGCCCTCCAGCAGAACTCAATTCAAAAAGCCACGTTCAAAGGACTTGTACGGGTGGAAGGTGCTAAATGATCTTTTCAGGTCCTACCACCATTTTGTGTAAGATTCTGCATTCATAGTTCATACCTTCCCGACAGAATCTCACAACTGATAATGAAGCTATTTGTTAATGTTTCTAATCAAAATGACATTATTAGTCAAGTCTTTTGTCTGTAAGTCTCCTGTAAATGCCATGTATAGAATTTGTTTATTGCTTTAAATAAGACAGATACATTATGTATTTTATATTTTTTGTGCTGGATGGAAACTATTTTGGTTTTATAAAGAAAAATGGTTTTAAAAATTATTTCTCTCTTTGTAGAAAATCAACAGATATTTTAGTAACTGTCTTCTAAAAATGTACTGTTGCTATATTTCAAAGCATATAAAATAGGTACAATTATAGTAGAGTCATAGAATATCTCAAGTTGGAAGTACTGCCATAGTAAAACGTGCTTTGGTAATTAATAGCCTTAATACTATATACTTTGTATTTGCGGTTTTCATAGATAAAAGCATTTTGTAATTTAGTGCAGAGCTTAAGCTCAGGTTGCATGTATGGAAATGCAGAATAATATATTTCTTAATAAACATGTAGAAAATATTTGCTCTTAATGTGAACTACTACAATCTGGTTGAAGGACGGGTTTTGTATTTTCAGTGAGTGGTGATGTGTCATTTTTTTAATAATATAAAAAATGTTCCTTTCTCCTTCGTTTTGGATAGTAGAATATTTTTCCCTGGCAAAGACAATGTTCTAAACTAGATGCTGCTCCCAAAAGCCTGCCTAGATGGCAGTATCCACTCACGTAACCTGTGCTCAAGGATGGTGGCAGTTTAAAGTGTGTGTTAATGGAAAAATGACATAGAGTTCTAAATTGGACAGGAAAGTGTATGCTTTTACATACAAATAACTGTTTCTCATTAAATTCCTTAATAATAAAGTCCGAAGACATGTCATATTTTCTGGTTTTTAACCACTTAGGTCACTTAATTAGATTAATTAGATTAGGCAAAAAATGTGTGGAGGACTATTCTCAGATTTAACCTGGGCAGTGATTGTTTCACTCTAAGTAACTCCTTCTAAGGCAAAGATCGTGTCAGTTCTCCTTGCTGATAGTCCAGAAAATTAGTAATCCATCTAGTCATGCTCATTTAACACTAATTGCTGGAAATACTTATGGTACATAGTTTAATGCTGGATCCTGAGATTGGAATTCAAGAAAGACATACACAGCCTTCATGGGATCCCAGATTTATTAACTGCAGATGAAAGACTTGCATACTCTTCTTCTGTCATCTAGCTCAGCTAAGACTGTAGTGCCATAACAACCTCGTCATTATAAACTGCACCAATTAATAAAAATTGGATTTAAATCATTAGAGGTATTCTCCCTCGTAGAAGTGCACGTGTTTATAAGAGGATTATCCAGTAGTACGTCCTCACTGCAGTAGCCAGGAGCCTTGACACAATGACCTCCCCCTCCTACGGTCTGATAATCAATTCTGAGCTCATGAATCTTTTCAGACAGCTCTCTTGCTCCCGTAGCTAAAAAACGGTGTTCCTGGTGCACTGGTATATTGCAGAAGCTCTGTTCTAGCCACATAACTTCAGAGGCAGCAAATGAAAGGAATCAATTCAGCAAGCTGGCAGAGATAGTTATCGCAGCAGCTCATGGGGTTCAGTGAGCATTATATGTTCATAACAAAATAAGCTGACACAGTCTGTAAGCTCTGCCAGATTTCAGTAGACCCAAAATAAGGATGCAATTCTTTTGTAGCTCTTTTGCTGCTTAGCTGCTCTGCAAGATACGTGTTTGTTAGATGTGGGAGACGTACATCTGACTTCAATATAAACAAGATTTTTAGAACTTAATTTGGTTGCTTATGCTTTGGCATCAAGTACCATTTGAGACACCCTGGGGTATCCTGCATGGTCTCCACATCTCCAGCTGCTGCTTCCATAGGTCCTATGTGGTATCTGCCAACCTCGTGTGTATCTTGGGTGCCTTAGGGCATCTCAAATGGCACTAGATGCCTGTGTTCAGGCATCTAAATGGAGCCCTTTGTTTTCTGGGGCTTGGATAGCTGATGTCTGACTATTTTTCGGTGAGCCTGCATAAAATGCTAGCACTGAGATTGGTGCGTGCCTCAGTTTTCAAAATAAATTGCTTAAATCCCCAGTAAGTACATAAGGTGGGATACATGACATGTTGTGCGTGTGAAAGAAAAGATTGTCTCCTGGGTGATGGGCTGATGCTGAACTGGACAGTTAATTCCTTGAGGCAAATAATTTAGAGCAACCCCCCAGCCTAATAAATGTCCCCTGACTGGAGTCTGTTGCCGTATCTCAGGTTTCTGATGAGTATCTGAAGCTAACATGTGGGCAGGACCTGGTTCAAGTTCAGCAAAGCCACGAGCAACAGTGGTGAGTTAATGGGAGATGAGGGAGCTGCAGTCCCCTTGCTTCCTGCAGGAGCTGTGTGTGGGATTCAGCTCAGGATTAAGCCACCTAAATTTAAGTGTCGAGATACAGGTGTGTATGGCCGAGCAGAGCAGTTGAGCTAGCTAGTTAAGTGCCCTTAGGGTAACCTGACTCATTCTGTAGGCTGAACTGACTCTACTGACTGCCTCGGTTGAGTTGTCTATGCATGGTGCCACATGAGATGCTGGAAGGTATCCTGCCTGGCGTTCGGCTGCTAGTCTAGAAGGGTTCAGATCTCCCATCGGTCCTCAGTCATACCTGCTAGCTCAGGTATATCTTTCATGCCCTAAGTCATCTCGGGCATCATTACTAGATGCTTGTGTGGGCAACAGGATCTAATTCTCCAGTCTCTGTGGCTGTCATGGGATCACAGCCCAAATATGCATGTTAGATGCTTAACTTCAGATTAAAGT